CCCATAGGGATCTGAACCCATGGCCTTGGTGTTGTCAGCACCACGCTCTCCCAAGTGAACTAACCAGCCATCCCCATAGGGATCTGAACCCATGGCCTTGGTGTTGTCAGCACCACACTCTCCCAAGTGAGCCACGGGCTGGCCCTATGTTTTGGGCTTATTTTTTGCTATGGAAAAGTTCTATCATATACAAAAGTAGAGACAATAGTGTAAAAATACTCAGACACCCATCCCACATCTTCAACAATTATCCAGTTGATCAAAAAAATTTTTTTTCTGCATAATTTTAAAGCATTCCAGACTTATGTCACTTCACACTTAAATGCTTTGGGTATGCACCCTAACTGACAAGAACTTTTTTTTGGTGGCTGGCCAGTGCAGGGATTGATCCCGGGGCCTTGGTGTTATCAGCACCGCACTCTCCCGAGTGAGCCACGGGCCGGCCCAGGATGGGGATTTTGAACCCAGGTCCCTGTGGCTCCTGAGACAAGTAGTAATGGAATGGTTTGTAGCTAGAAACATAGTGCGGGCGTTCTGACCCAGTAGCAGAGTATCTTTGTGGTTAGAATGGGGTGGGGGAAATACTAGACAAATGCTAATATTTAAAAAAAAAAAAAGTTAAACTTAAAATAGTTATTATCCCCATTTTACAGGTGGGAAAACTGAGGCTCAGATAGAGTTAAAAACCTTGCTTAGGGCTGGCTAGTTAGCTCAGTTGGTTAGAGCGTGGTGCTGATAACACCAGGGTCCAGGGTTCCATCTCTGTACTGGCCAGCCACATAAATAAACACAAAAATAAATAACACAAACCTTGCCCAAGATCTGGAAGCCCATGGGGGAGGGAGCATGCAGAAAAGTGCTTCTCAGAGCACTACCAGTGACGAAAACCTCTCACCTGCCCATGCTAGGGGCTGCTCCTCTTTTTCCTGCTCTTTCTCAGCCTCCTCCAAGAAAACTTCCAGAAGTTTCTCTGCTTCCCGGGCTTCAGCACCCCCTGGGGCTGCCCAGCTCAGAAAAGTTTGGACACTGCCCAGGTCCAGGTGGGCAGGGGGATCTCGGAAGTCCTGCGGGTGGTCCCGCAGCCAGGAGCCCAGCACTGATACCACAGCCCTGGCCAGAGGGGCAGGGTCTCAGAGCCTGGGCCAGAGCTCTGAACCTCAGACCTGACTACTGACTTTTTGTTACCTAATCTGCCACTTTCAGGTTACCCCACTCTCTAGCCCCAGGGTCTGACTGCTAATCTTAGACCTCTAGGACACCCCCCCCCCACACACACAACCGGATGGAGGACCGACCTCAGGTTCTTGTTGAAGCTCAGATCCTGTGTCTCTGTCTCCTTGATCGCCACCCTGGGAAGAGGCCCTGCTGTCAGGTGACTAGACCCGGGTTAGGAGGAGGGTTCTGGGGGTGGGAGGCGTTTTCTGGTTCCAAACCTGGGGAGGTGGGGGGAGTGCCCAGGTGGGAGTCTGGGAGTTGCTACTGACCCGGGAGGTGGGGGCGGCGGGGGTGGTGGCAACAGAAAACCCAGCACACGAGCAGTAGGCACAAAGGCCCGGTAGGTGGCCAGGAAGGCAGGCACGAAGCCAGGGTCCTGCTCCGGGTCGCCGGACACCAACTCGCCCACCAGCCGCTCCAGACGAGCCGCCCTCAGCGCCCGCACCTTGCTCGTGCGATAATGGAGGAAAGTGTCCGTAGTGGGGGTGGGGACCTGTGGGGCGGAGGGGTGGCCATGAGTGGCCCTGGAGCACCCCTTCTCCATCTCTAGCACCTTTCTTTTCTTTCTTTCTTTCTTTTTTTTTTTAAAGATGACCGGTAAGGGGATCTTAACCCTTGACTTGGTGTTGTCAGCACCACGCTCTCCCAATGAGCCAACCGGCCATCCCTATATGGGATCCGAACCCGTGGCCTTGGTGTTGTCAGCACCGCACTCTCCGAGTGAGCCACGGGCCGGCCCTGCTAGCACCTTTCTTGCACCTGACCTTGTCCATTCCTCTGAATCCGGACCTCCCTGGATTTACTATTTTGCCCTGTCCACAAACGACCCGCAACCCACCTGGAACCCTGGTCCTCCCGGGCCCTGCCCTCCGCCCCGCCCGCCCTCACCTGGCCGCTTCTAAACTCCACCCCTCCTTCCAGATCCGGACTACTAAACCCTGCCGTCCAGTTCTGCCCTTACCTGGTCGCCCCCAGGTCCCCCTCGGGAACTGCGCCATCACCTGGCCCCACCCCATTCCCCATGCCCTGGATTTACTCTCACTCACCTGATCGCCCCAGGCTCCTTTCTTCCTGCACCGGCTGCCCCAGCCCGGCCCTCCAGCTCTGATCCCGTCCCCACTCCCGGGCCCCTTCACTCAGCCACGCCCTCACCTAGTCGCCTCCCGCCCCGCGCCACTACCCAGCCCTTCCTCACCTGGCCGCCTCCAGGCCTCTGCCCCGGGCTCAAGCGCTGACTGCGCTGTCGCCGCAGGGAGACACTGTACACCGCGCCGTCCTCGGTCTCCTCGCCCCAGTCCTGCAGCGGCGCCTGGACGCGGAGGCGGGCTCAGGGCGCCACAGGGGGATCGGCCCGGGGCCTCAGCCCCCCTTATCCGCACGGACTCAGTCCGGGCCTTCCTGCTTGGTCCCCCCTTCCCGGCAAGAGCCCGCGAGACCCAGGGCAGTGTCCCCGGCTAGTCCCCTCCTCACCGAGGGTACCCTCCTCCCAGGTCCCGAGGGGATGGGGTGGCATTTGGGGACGTCCCAGTGTCCAGTCTCATGGAATCTTGTCCTTGACCCCGCCCCCATCCCTAAGAGTAACCAGCAGCTTCAGTGGGTCAAGGGCCATGTGTTCCGAGGTGGGGACTCCAGGGCAGGTCCGATTTGGGGCGGGCACCTGGAGTTTCTGGACCTGCGGATCACCGGGGATGCGGGGGCCCGGGACCCTTTACCCCCTTACCAGGTTGAGCTCCTTGCCCGCTGTCCGCTGCATGGCCCGCGCCCGTCCCGCTCGGTGGCACGGCTGAATGAGGCGGAAGGGCCAGCGGACAGTGGCCCAGGCTGGAGCCGCCGGGCGGGGCGGGGCGGCTGGACCACACAGGGACGGGGCGGGGCCGGGCGGGCAGGACCCACGGCTCTCGGATGCCCCCAACCGGACCCCAGCGCCCAGACCAACCCGGGAGAGGTCCGGCTCTCCCGACAAGTGTGAGATGTGTATCAATCTGTCCTCTGGAGAAAGGACACATCTGTCCCCAGGGGAGGGGGTCTTTTCTCTAACCCCAGGTGTGGGGGTAGCTCCCATTTCTCTGGAGGAGACGGGGGAAGCTCAGTCCATGTCACCGTGAGCTGATGGGCGTCATCACGCCCCAGGTTGGAGGGGGCTACGTCTGGGGCCCTGGGTTTTGAAGGGCAGGCGTCTTTTGGGAGGTGCAGGCTCAGAAAGAGGTGAATACTCAGGAGGCTGGCCGGTGACCTTTATTGCGCGATTCCGAGGCGGCGTAGACCCGCCTGGGGAGATTTACTGTGGGAAAGGCAGGGCCGGCCCCCTTCCTCTCCTCCGGGCCGCTGGCCTGCTCTGCTCCCTGTCTGGGCCGTGTCCAGCCCTTGAAGGGGCCCCGTGGGCCCGCGGCTGGACCCAGAGGGATCGGGGGCTCCGAAGGGGCCCGGAGTCGCCAGGTGGGCGTGAGGGCGAGTCTAGTTTCTCCGCGACCGACTGCGCCTCTTGTTGCGGGATTCGATTAATTTCTGGGAACGGATCTTGAGTGCCGTGCGGGTCACCACGTGGCTGTCCTCCTCCTCACTCTCCTCTTCGTCTGTTGGGGGCGAGGAGAGATGATGGGTCCAAGTCCCCATCCCCAGCTCAGATTTCCCTCCCCAGCCTCCACCTCCCAACCCCACCCTCACCTTGGCCTTGGGCCTCAGACCACCTCCCTCTCTCGGCTTGGCCCCCAACTCCACCTCCTTTCCCCGCCTGTACTGACCGAAGAATTTGTCCTTGGGACTGGCAAGGGGCAGAGGGATGCGGGTGTTGTACTGAGGCAGCTTTCCCTCTAAGCTGGCGAGGAACTAAGTGGTGGAAAGGGGTGGGAGAGGGGAGAGGAGTGTGGGCGGGGCAGGGACTGCGGCGAAGTCCCCTTCCCCCTGCTCCCCATCCCATTCCGAGATATGCCCTGATTCCAGACGGAGACCACTGCCCAGTCCTACTTCATTTTTTCTCAGACCCAGCAGCATCTCTCGTTCTCAGCAGGCCCCCAGATGCTCAGCTCCACCCACTGTCACGTAGGCCCAGCCCTGGTCTTTGGGGCCCCGCCCCGTGGCCTCTCCAGGCGGACCTCTGATTCCCAGCCCTCTGGCTTCCTGGGACCCGCCCGCAGCTCTGCTGGCTTCTCCCTCTTGTGTGTCAGGCTCACCCCTGCTCCTCGAACCTCACCCATTGTGCCCAAGGTCCCTTTCTACATCATCAGCCTCCATCCTGGTCTCCCGAGGGTTGCCATCGGCTCCCTGTACCTCCAACCCCCGCACTCTCAGCCCCATCCCTCGGTCCCTCGAGCCCTGCCCCTTGGCTGCAAGGGCACCTCGCGATCGGCAATGAGGCGCAGCATCTCTGACACGTTGTAGTTCTGGAGCTGCTCCTGCAGTTTCAGCAGCTTTTCCTCCACGAGGCCCAGCAGGTTCGGCAAGTAGTCACCCGCCTTGGGATCCAATACCTTTCCCGAGAAGCGGCTGTCCTCCTGCAGCCAGGATCGAAGCCGGATCAGCCGCGGGACAGCAGGGCCTCTGGGGCAGGCTCCACCCAGGGGCGAGGTTTCCTCTCTCAGGGCGTGGCCTTTGAGGTGAGGGGCCGCCCACAGGGGCGGTGCTATCGGTTGTGGGCGGGGGTTCTGAAGTCAGGCCACGCCTGTAAGGGCGGGCTTCTGACCTCCAGATACACAAAAAGGCTGGGGAGAGGTCTTTTGGGGTAAGGTCACTGTGGGGCTGGCCTTTTGAATAAATGGGCCTCTGCACCGGGCAGGACGGCGCTTCTATCTCGGGCCGCACCAGAATTGGAGTGGGGTCATCGAGGTTTTGAGGGGGACAGAGTGAGACTTTCCCAGGGGGCGGGGCTTGAGGTGGGTCAGGGTCTCTGAAGTCCCGGTCCTCTTGAGGAATGAGAGGGCTTCCCCAGGGAAGTGGGGTGTGGCCTCCCAATGTAGGCGTGGCCTCTGCTCTCCTGGACAGGAGATGGGATGGCTTCCCTGGGGTGGGCTTGCTCGCAGGAACCTCCCCTGCGTGGCTGAGCCTCTCAGATTCTGGGCGGGGCTTCCTTGGGGGCGGGGCCTACCACGGTGACGTGTTTCAGCTTGCTCGCCAGGTGCTCCAGGCCCTCCTTGGCTATTTGCAAGGCCCGCAAGGTGCGCTCCAGCTGATCCTGTGCCTCCGCTTGCCGCTGCTCCTCGGCCTTGAGTCGCTCCTGCACCTCTGCTTGCAGTTTCTGCTGGCTGCAGGGGGCGAGGAGGTCGCCATTGGAGCGTGGCTGACTCCTCACCCCCCACCCCTCCCTCGGGCACCAGGGCCTCACCTCACCAGCGTGGCCTCCCCTGAGTACTTGAGGTGTTCGAGTTCCTGCTGTAGCCGCTGCTTCTCCTGCTGCAGCCGCACCAGCGACTGCTCGTTCTCCCTCTTGAGCGTCTCCAACTGCGCGAAGGTGTCACCCTGGGCCAGGAACCGCCGCACCACCGACTGCGGGCCACCCAGCCCCAGTCAGAGCCAGGCCTAGGCAGGCACGGGTGCGCTCCACCTTGTCTCCCCCGGCGCGCAGGACAGGTGGCCTAAGCTGGTGTCTTTTGCAAAGTGATGTATGGGGACTGTGTGGATCGGACTAGGGCTGCTTCAAAGATGCGCAGCCCAGAGAAACGATTTTTGCGAGGACCTTCCTGGTCTATATAAAGAAATTGAGTCAGCCAAAATCTACGAGCGGGGGCAGCAGCAGCAGCGAGTATAGCTGCTATCCAAAATCAACGTGCCAGCAATTTCTGGCAGCGAGTCTTGCCCAATTTGGTGTGGAGATACCACTTATCTCGGGAGCGATCCGCTCCCCAGGCCCAGGAAAGGGGCTGCACCTCGGTGCCCCAGATGACCCCATAGGTCTAAGTCCCAGAACTCCTCGGGAGTCGAGCCCACGGGAGGAGACACGGGTTAGAGAGCACCCAAAGGGGAGAAACCGAGCTGGGATCCAGCTGGGTCAGTGTTTGCAGCGGGAATCAGGCACCCGAGGGGGATACACGGGTCTTAGGAAATCTCAAGGAAGATGCTGCACCAGGGCCCCGCTTGCCCAGGTCTGAACATGGTACTGAGCCATCTACTTTGTCCCAGATCATGTTACAGGTACTGGAAACACAGTACCAGTGAGGCAAAACTCCCAGTTCTCCTAAAGCATGTCCCAGAGAAGTTAGTACCGGTAAGAGAGAACAGAGAGGAAATTAAGGCGCCTGTGGGTTTTGCTGTGAAGAGCAGCGAGAAAACAGGGAGATAACGGAGGGGAAGGAATGCCTTGTAAAAAGAGAGCATGGAAAAAAAAAACCCAAAAATCCAACCAACCGAACAAACAGAAAAAAGAGAGCATGGGCTGGCCGGTTAGCTCTGTTGGTTAGAGTGCAGTTCTGATAACAAGGTCAAGGGTTGGGGTCCAGGCGCCAAAGAAAGAAAGAAAGAAGAAGGAAAAAAAATCGGGCTGGCTGGTTGTTCAGTCGGTTAGAGCATGGTGCTGATAAAAAGAGAGCAGGTTTGTGTGCTGAAGAGTTGACCCGGCAGAGAGCAGACAGAGGCTGGGCATGTCGGCTTCGAAGGCCAGGGCACGTCTGCGGGCAGAGAGGGCTGCGCTCAGCACTCACGTGTGACTCGGCCGCGCCGGTGGCGTCCTTGACCTTGCCGAAGATCACCTCCATCTGGTACATGCCCCAGCGCTTCCGCAGCTCCTCCTCCTTAGAGGGCTGGTGGTCCTGGAGCGTATCATCGGACTGCAGCAGCAGGTGCTCACGCTGGGTCTGCTCGCGGGTTGAGGTCAGGGCCAGAGGCAGCTCACAGTCAAGGGCTCAGGGAGGAGGCCGAGGAGGGGTACCCAGACAGGGGTCCGGGAGGGGACGGGGTAGGGCAAAGGCTTGGAGCCAGGTGAGGGCACCCGGGTAGGGGTCGGGAGGTGGAACAGGTGAGGGCAGGAGGCGACCTCAGAGCCAGCGCAGAGGAGTGGGGCCTTAGGCTAGAGGCAGGGTCAGATTTAGGACAGATGGGTGGGGAACGATAAATAAGGGCCTGAGAGTAAGGGGAGGGGTGGAGGCCATGTCAGCCTAAATGGAGCAACCAGGTGGGAGGGGATGGTGGGGAGAGGAGGAAGGGGTCAGAGATGTGGGACAAGCGCCTGAGCCAGGTCATGGTCGCGGGGCACCCCCGGGTGTGCCCACCTTGCGCTCCATGCGCTCGTTCTCTAGTTTCTTTTCCTCCGCGCGCTTCTTGCAGTCATTTAAGTAGCGGTCACGCTTCTTGCGCTCCCGTAACATGTTCTCCTCCAGATACTGCAGCCGGTTCTGGAGGACGGGCAGGGGAGCAGGAGGAGGGGTTGGCACCTACCGTGGCTCAGGCTTACACAGCTGGGCCAGGCTGCAAGGTGCTGGGACAGAGATGGGACACAGATGGGAGGGGCTGGCTCAGGGACAGCTGAGTTCAGATTCTGAGCCAGAGGCCATCATGGCAGCTGGGCAGGACCCCCAGGGGTAGCTGGGCTGACACCTTGGCAATGTCCCGGGCATTGAGAGCCTCTTGGTTCACCACATGCAGTTCCTCCAGTTCATGCTTGGTCTTCACCACCTCGGCTTCCATGGAGTCCAGCCGGTTTTCCAAGTTAAGGCTCTCCTCCTGGGGCGTGGGGGGTGGAGGGGTCAGGCCTGTGACTGCTGTCCTTGGCCAGGCCTCCCCCTCCTCAGCCACCCTAGGCCATACCTGCAGATAGGCTTTGAGCTGCAGGTACACGCTGGTAATATTTTCTGCCTCCTCAGCCTTCATCC